ACCACCCACCTCTCCATCCTCTTCCCCCGCCTTCCCCTTCCCCCTTTTTTCTCTAAACACTAGGATGCACAGGGTCTCTGCTTCGCAGCCACTGGCAGTCTAGTTAGAGGAGAGACCCGGCTGGGGCCCTGTCATGAAGCCACCTGTGCCATTCCCTTAGTGATAACACAAAGAATACATTACAGAAAAACATCTGAAGTTTAATCAGTCTAATCAGGAAAAATCTAATTCTTGTTCCGTGTAAGAATCAGCCGACCACAACCGCTGATACTGAAACTTTGAAAACTTGCTATGCTAAATGTCAGATCTCTTTGTAACAAGTCTTTTTTAATCAATAATCTTATTTGTTCTTATAATCTAGATCTTATGTTCATGGCTGAAACATGGCTTGACCAAAATACAGAAAATGCAGTTTTAATAGAAGCATCACCACCAAATTTTCAAATTTGAAATCTGAAATACGGGAAAACAAAAAAGGAGGAGGCTTAGCTGCCATTTTTAGAGACCACTTTGTCTCCCATAGAATGTCTCTTGGGAAGTTTCCGTCTTTTGAATATGTGTCTTTTAAAATACAACAAAAACAATCTCCTCCAATACTCTTCATAGTCCTATACAAGCCACCGCAGTCATGTCACAGTTTTATTGATAATTTTACAGAGTTGCTTTCAGTTGTATGCACAGATTTTGATAGTTTAGTTATTACAGGTGATTTTAATATTCATGTGGATAATGTTGATGACAGAAATGCAAAAGAGCTGAGTTCTTTACTTGATAACCTTTGGTCTCACTCAGCATGTGAGTGGCCCCACCCACAGCAGAGGGCACACTCTAGACCTGTTAGTTACTAAGGGGGTGAATATTTCAAATGTAAACGTGGTCGATGTTGCGCTTTCGGATCATTTTTGTGTATTTTTTGACATGTGTTTCACTAACAAACCACCAGTGGACTCTGCAACTGTACGAAGAAGACACATAAATGAAAATACGGGTGAACTATTTATGGGAATGATAAACTTTGAGAATGCATCGTATTCTACTGTAGATGAACTGTTTAACTCTGTCACCTCTAGTGTTTTGAATGTTCTGGACACCATCGCTCCTGTGAAGGTTAAAACAGTGAAAAATAAGCAGAAGGCGCCGTGGGCTAAAGCAGACTCGGTCAGGGCACAAAAGAGAGAGTGCCGGAGGGCCGAGCGGAAGTGGCGCAAGTCCAACCTCCAGGTTGATTACGAGATCTTCAAAGATAAGTTTGTGCGAGTTTAACCAGGTGCTACGTAGTACGAGAGAAAGGTATTTTTCTGAAATGATTGAAGGCTGCAGCAACAATCTGCGTGTTCTGTTTTCAACAGTTAATAGATTAACAAACCCCCCTGTTCAAATGCCATTAGAGCTAACTTCCAAACGTAAATGTAATGAGTTTGCACATTTTTTCAATGACAAGGTTCAAGGCATCAAAAACGCCATTGTCTCCAATCCACAGATAACCATCCAACAGCCAAAAAGGCTCTTTGAGCTAACTTACTTTGCACCTGTAAATGATCAAACTGTCCAAGAGATAATCTCCAGTTTGAGCTCCTCCACATGCAGCCTGGATGTACTACCCACTAGATTTCTAAAGTCTGTTCTGAGCAGTCTGTTACCTTCACTCACACAGATAGTAAACATGTCCCTTCATACTGGAATATTCCCAAAGGCCCTGAAAACTGCAGTCATCAGGCCCCTGCTTAAAAAGAGCAGTCTGGATGCTACGGTACTTAACAACTACCGTCCCATCTCAAATCTGCCATTTATGGGGAAAGTCCTTGAGAAAGTTGTCTACCAACAGCTAAATAGATTTCTTATAATCAACAACTCATTTGATATGTTTCAGTCCGGCTTTAGACCCCACCACAGCACTGAGACTGCTCTTGTCAAGGTTACAAACGATATCCGGCTAAACACTGACGCAGGCAAAGTCTCAATCCTAATCCTGTTAGATCTAAGTGCTGCCTTTGACACTGTCGACCATGAGATCCTCTTACAGAGACTAGAGGACTGGGTTGGCGTCGCTGGCACCGCCCTAAGTTGGTTTAGGTCTTACCTTGAAGACAGGAAGTACTTTGTGGAGATTGGAAACTGTGTCTCAGATCATATGGCCCTGACCTGTGGAGTACCACAGGGGTCGATCCTGGGACCTCTTCTGTTCAATCTCTACATGCTGCCGTTAGGTCAGTTAATACGCAGAAACAAAGTGTCCTATCATAACTATGCAGACGACACTCAGATCTATGTCTCACTGACTGCAGGAGAACATGGACCAGTGGACTCACTCCTTCACTGTATCCAACAGATCAGTGAGTGGATGCAAAACAACTTCCTTCAGCTAAACACAGACAAAACTGAAATGATTGTCTTTGGTCCCCAGAAACAAAGAGAGAGCGTCATCTGTCACCTACAGTCTCTCTCCCTAAAACCTTCAAACAAGGTCAGAAATCTAGGGGTAATACTGGACTCAGACTTAAATTTTAATAGCCACATCAAATCAGTAACATCAGCAGCTTTTTACCATCTAAAAAACATTTCCAGGATCAAAAACATAGTGTCTAAAGCAGACTTGGAGATTCTTATCCATGCATTTGTCTCCAGTAGGTTAGACTACTGCAATGGCCTGCTCACAGGTCTGTCCAAACAGGCTGTAAAACAGCTGCAGTACATTCAAAATGCAGCAGCTCGAGTCCTGACTAGAACCAGGAAGTACGACCATATTAGTCCGGTCCTCAGGTCTCTGCACTGGCTTCCTGTGGCTCAGAGAATAGACTTTAAAACAGCTTTGCTTGTGTACAAGTCTCTCCATGGCCTCGCACCAAAATATATTAGTGACATGTTAGTCCCATATGAACCAGCCCGGACTCTGAGGAGCACAGGGACTGGACTCCTGTTAGTGCCCAGAGTCAGAACTAAACATGGGGAGGCTGCTTTTCAGATTCATGCTGCTAAAATCTGGAACAATCTTCCTGAAGATGTGAGACAGGCCTCCTCTCTGACTATGTTTAAAACCAAGTTAAAAACTGTGCTGTTTAGCTGTGCATACAACTGAGGGATTTTATATTTTTTTATCTTTCTTTTTAATGTTCTGTGATTATTTATGATTTTAATGCTATCTTGTTCAGCACTTTGAGTTGCCTTGTGTATGAATTGTGCTATACAAATAAACTTGCCTTGCCTTGCCTTGCCTTGCCTTGCCTTGCCTAACCCTAACCGCCCTGATACAAAAGCCTAAAACTTAACCATCCCTGATTTGTATTGCCTAAAACTTAACCATTCCTATGTTTAACCAAATCATCAATATATAAAAACCTAGCCCCAACCCGAAACATATATCCTAACCTTAACCACTTGGAGATAAACATCTAAAACATAACCATCCCTGTGCTTAATAAAGTTAAATTCACCCAGAAACAAATCCACGAACACCATTGCTTCAAGAACATTTTATTAAAAGAGAAAAACATCACAGAGCAACTGTATACAAACAATAAAACAGCAAAATATAGATACATAGAAACTGCACGTAGGCCCCAGACAATGTCACAATGACATCATTGCATACCACCTGACGGAAGGAGGCGCATTAGCGCAAGGGGGGCGTGCCCCATCATAAAAGCCAACTCCACCTGCTGCTCTCATCAGTCTGTGTGTGAGGCCTGAGGAAGACGGACCTCCGTCGAAACGTTGCCGCTTAACACACAGACTATTGAAAAAAAAGAAAAAAAGTGACTTACCTTCACAGAGAAAAAGTTACCAACCTTATAGACCACATGGTCTATAGACTGACCATGAGGGAAGACTGGCCTGGGTCAAAACAACAATTCTTCCAACGACCCAGGACCACCCAGTATAATTGGAGGGCCAGTGCCAACACTCTCTCTTCAGAGAGACACCCGCACGCTAGTCTGACTACGCCCGTGCCTCCACATCTTACTGGGCCCTACCATAGCAGACCTCTGCTTCGCTCCTATGCAGATGTCACTCGAACCAGAACAACACAAGCCAGACCATATACCGACACATCCTACCGGTATAACGAACGGTACAATGAAGGAAGAGAACGGGTCTCAAACAGAGAGGCACCGCCTTCCCAATATGCAAATTACCGCAATGACAACCACCACTATGAACCGCTTGATCCAGTCTCACGCAGACTGACAAAGACCCTACACGGTGTAATAAAAGTCATACATCATCTTCAAAAAGTCTCCCCAAAAACAGGAAAGGACGAACCAAGAATGATAGCCCAAATGACTTCACAACTTGCAACCCTAATAAAGCCCGCACTGCCCACACCACAAACCCTAGAACTGATCGAAGGAAATGCAAAAAATTGGGGTTACACTACCCTGCTGATTCTGGAACAGCACTATACTGAGACGTTGGAACAATTACTCCAACAACTCAGTAATGAATTACCGATGGACTGGAAACCAGCATTTAACATCGCCACCACGTGGGCACGACGGAATCTGCCGCGTATCACACAGGCGGAGATTGACCACGCAGAAGTGGTCATCTCAGGCTGTAGAAATGAAAACACATCTCCACTGATGGGGAATTCACCCCAGCGGCCCTTACAAGCACTCATAACAGATTACACAATAAACACAAACCCTCCCCTGAGGGAACCCAGACAGACGTATGTGAGACAGGAAACATCCCCGCCAGCACCACGGAGAGCGACTCCACTTGTTACTCTCCCACCGCCACAAAACAGGGCCTCTCGGTGCTCAAACTCGACAGTCAATTCAACGACCACAACCTCCACTCAGAAACACCACAAATTCACAAACACAAACAATGGGAACAAATACAGGAGATTTAAATGAGGAACAAGGAACAGACACCCCTACACCAAAACCACAGCGAATCAGATCAATAAGGAGACACTTTCAGCCAGCCGTATGCCCAATGGAGGAACTAGATGAAGCTATCACAAGCCACTATGAGGAACCCCCTATACCTCCCCCCTACAGGGAGGAGAGGTCCTCCCCCACCACCCTATTGAGCCTGCTGGACGAGGACGAATCCCAGGAAATGGACAAAACCCCAATCCTCCAACACCCACATCGACCATCGACCAGAAGCCTAACCCAAAATGCAGGGACCCTCACCCACCGGGCCCTCACCCACCAATCCACACCCATGAACCCACCCACACCCACCAACCAAGACCGTTACTACCCAAGAGTACATATTAGAACACAACGGAAAATAAAAAACTGGACACTCACCATTGAAAAAAAGTGGGTTATAATAGGAGATTCCAACATACGCAGATTCCCTCGCCACTCAATTCCTGACCTCCAAATTGAATGTTACCCCGGGGGAAACTTCAGGCACATTGCTGCCACCTTAAACTCTGCCATACAAAATAAAAGAATGGAAAAACTAGTCCTAGCCTTTGGCATCAATCACAGGGACCAGGCAGGCAGAGAAACAGCAATAAAACAAATGCAAACAGCCATCAGGACCGCCAAAAGACGCTTCCCTGGCTCAGAAATCTGGATCCCCGCAATAAACTGCTCCAGGAATCTCCCACATCATCAACAAGCCACCATCCAAAGAATGAATGACTACACATTAGAAAACATAAGGACACATCCCAGCCCTGCCTGCTGACCTCTTTCAAACCGAAGACGATGATGTACAATTGGACAAAACCAACAGCAAATATAATATTCAAACATTGGACCAGCTTTTTAAAACTTCACAGCCCCCAGAGCTCTACGTCTGTCATACGTATGACAGACGTATACGTATGACGTATTTACACTTCTAGTGTTAATATCACCATTGGTTCAGATGGAACAATGTTACGCCCATCTGGGACGCGTACGTGCTGCAATTCCTCCTGTGGACATTAGCAGTGAGACTGTGCACTAATCATGTCAGATCAGCATCTTGATGTGGCACACCCGTGAGGTGAGATGGATTATCTCATCAGAGCAGAAGTGCTCACTATCACACATTTAGACAGATTTGTGAACAATGTTTGAGAGAAATAGTAATATTGTGTATCTGCATCTTTAGATCTTTAAGTCCATCTCATGGAAAATGGGAGCAAAAACAAAAGTTTATTTTTGTTGAGTACTTGGCCTCTGTATCCCTAGGCCTCTGTGTCACCTTGAGAATGCGTTCATATCCATAGTTGCCAATTCTTTTGACCATGTAGACTCCAAACGCGTACATCAGCTCGTCATGCGTCTTCCCCAACACCTCGCCCGCCGCCTTCGCCAACCGCAGGATCAGGTTATCACTGACAACAACAAACAGAGCAGAAAGGACGTCATAAAAAACATTACGAAAGAAGAGACACATGGACTGAGGCTGTAGACCCAGGACTGAGACTGTAGATCCAGGACTGAGGCTTTAGATCCAGGACTGAGGCTGTAGATCCAGGACTGAGGCTGTAGATCCAGGACTGAGGCTGTAGACCCAGGACTGAGGCTGTAGATCCAGTACTGAGGCTGTAGATCCAGGACTGAGGCTGTAGATCCAGGACTGAGGCTGTAGATCCAGGACTGAGGCTGTAGATCCAGGACTGAGGCTGTAGACCCAGGACTGAGGCTGTAGAACCAGGACTGAGGCTGTAGATCCAGAACTGAGGCTGTAGATCCAGGACTGAGGCTGTAGACCCAGGACTGAGGCTGTAGATCCAGTACTGAGGCTGTCGATCCAGGACTGAGGCTGTAGATCCAGGACTGAGGCTGTAGATCCAGGACTGAGGCTGTAGATCCAGGACTGAGGCTGTAGACCCAGGACTGAGGCTGTATCCAGTACTGAGGCTGTAGACTCAGGACTGAGGCTGTAGACCCAGGACTGAGGCTGTAGATCCAGTACTGAGGCTGTAGTCCCAGGACTGAGGCTGTAGCTCCAGGACTGAGGCTGTAGATCCAGGACTGAGGCTGTAGACCCAACCCAACTTTGCCTGTAGCTCTCGCTGAGAGATAAGTAAGTAATCTTTATATTACTCCTTTCACAGACCAGAGTCCCAAAGTTGGTTAATAATAATAATAATAATAATAATAATGCACTGGTTTTATATTGTGCTTTTCTGGACACACAAAGACACTTTACATCTTATTATTCTTTCTCTCACACAGTGGAGATAAACTACTACTGTAGCCACAGCTGCCCTGGGGCACACTGACAGAAGCGAGGCAACCAGTATGTGCCATCAGCCCCTCCCACCACCACCAACCATTCACACACACACCAGACTCATTCTAATGTGGGGGAAGTGTCTTGCCTGAGGACACAACCACAGTTTGGCACTTTACAGCCACAGCCGCCCCACTGTCGCACCTGCTGTTGTGGGAGTCTGTCTCTCTCTCCACACAGAGACGACAGAAGGCTCTGTCACCTCTGGACTCACCACCTGCAGGAGGATCAGTGAGGGGCTAGTGCTATCCACCCACCCGACCCAGAAATGGGTAAAGGGTAGGAAATGGATGGATGAACATTGTGGAGAATGCATAGAATACATTTAATGGATTTATAACGTGTAAGAGAAAGCTTGCTGTCGTCTGCCAGTAAATATGTTTTGTTTCGATTTCAATGTCAGTGAAAACAAATTATCTCTGAAGCTTCCACACTATTCAAACATGAATGAATCACTTTAATGAGACACTAATGGAGAGGGACGTCATTAAAACGAGGTTTACAGCTCGTCTGCATCACACCTTTACTTTATGGCAGATGTGTGTTTGCAATAAGGTTCAATTATGATTGGAACAATTATCATAATCATTTGCCTAATGCTCTCCGCTCTCATCAGGGGCTCCTATAGCTGCCGTGATTTCATTAAGTCAACATTTTTAATGGATCTACAGCCTCAGTCCTGGGTCTACAGCCTCAGTCCTGGATCTACAGCCTCAGGCCTGGGTCTACAGCCTCAGTCCTGGGTCTACAGCCTCAGTCCTGGATCTACAACCTCAGCCCTGGGTCTACAGCCTCAGTCCTGGGTCTACAGCCTCAGTCCTGGGTCTACAGCCTCAGTCCTGGATCTACAACCTCAGCCCTGGGTCTACAGCCTCAGTCCTGGGTCTACAGCCTCAGTCCTGGGTCTACAGCCTCAGTCCTGGATCTACAGCCTAAGCCCTGGGTCTACAGCCTCAGTCCTGGATCTACAGCCTCAGTCCTGGGTCTACAGTCATGAAGCCACCTGTGCCATTCCCTTAGTGATAACACAAAGAATGCATTACAGAAAGACATCTGGAGTTAATCAGTCTAATCTGGAAAATCTAATTCTTGTTCCGTGTAAAAATCAGCCGACCACAACCGCTGATACTGAAACTTTGAAACTTGCTATGCTAAATGTCAGATCTCTTTCTAACAAGTCTTTTTTAATCAATAATTAGGCCCGAGCCCCGAACGGGGTAAGGGCCTATTGCTTTCACAATGGTGAAAACAAATGGTGGCGGTGCGTGACGGACGCGTCAGCGCCCGTCACTCACCAAAATGTGACAGTTGCGTGCGTAAACTCAAAAGCTTTAAAATGATGTATCACATGCCATTGAAACCTATATTGTTTTTGCTCGAGACGTTAAAAAAAAAATTCCTTTTTTATTTATTTCTTTCTTTCTTTTTTCTTCTGCACTTTGAGCCTTAATTTGACCCCCTGAACATGCATGAAAAGTTGTTAATTTTGGCCCAAAAATCAGACCTGGCGAAAAATTTGATATTTTGGTGTTTATTTTTATGGGACTCAAAAAATGCCAGAACAGCGCCACCTACAACAGCCAAAATAATACCCCTATGGGACTTTTTGGAGGTCAAGTTTGTCGTAGAAACATGAGATTTGGTACACATGTTCCTTGAGTCAAGACATGAAAAAAATATTATTATGGCTCCGCCCTCTGACAAACAGGAAGCCCATAAATTTCACTGCAAAATGGAAAAATGAACAGCAAAAGTTTTCATACATGTCGGTTGGAAAGCGACTCCTCCTCGGCCGTTTCACCGATTCGCCTCAAAATCGCTCCACATCATCTCAACACATGTACCTTCAAAATGACCTCAGGGATTTTTGATCAGTGAAACATTGTTTGAGCAGCGGAGCGGCAAAATGTGACCTTTTTTTGGCCGTTTTTGACAACATTAAATTTGCTCCCGTTTGCACAAACAAAGTCTGATTTGCACAAAACTTTAATACATTGTTCAACTTTAGGGTCTAGGTCATTTGAAAGTTAAATGATTCACATTGACACATTAGCGCCCCCTACAGACTATTTCAAAGTTTTAGATGGGCATTTTCAAATTTAGTTTTTTCAAAATGTTTGAAATTTTGCACATAAATCTGTTTTGCACTCTTGATTCAAAAAGTCAATAGGGTCCAAGGCTTATTTTTTACCCTGTTGCCGTGGCGACGACAAACGCTCCAGATTCATTGCAAATGTACACCTCACACAAACATCAAACTAGCCTCGGCCGTTTCACCTATTCGCCTCAAAATCGCTCCACATCATCTCAACACATGTACCGTCAAAATGACCTCAGGGATTTATGATCAGTGAAACGTTGTTTGAGCAGCGGAGCGGCAAATAGTGGCGTATTTTTTTTCAGTTTTTGACAATAGAAAAATGGCTTCCGTTTGGACAAACAAAGTCTGATTTGCACAAAACTTAAATCCATGGTTCAACTCTTGGGTCTAGGTCATTTGAAAGTTAAAATTTTGAAATTGGCTCTATAGCGCCACCTACAACAGCCGATTTAAAAATGCCTATGGGAGGGGTTCGAGGTCAAAATTGTCATAGAACCATGTAATTTGGAACACATGTTCCTCAAGTCAAGACATTGAACTTGTTTTATTATGGCTAAGCCCTCTGACAAACAGAAAGCCCATAAATTTCACTGCAAAATGGAAAAATGAAAAATAATCATTTTCATACATGTCGGTTGGAAAGCGACTCCTCCTCGGCCGTTTCACCGATTGGCCTCAAAATTGTTCCAAATCATCTCAACACATTTACCTTCAAAATGACTTCAGGGAATTTTGATCAGTGAAACGTTGTTTGAGCAGCGAAGCGGCAAAATGTGAGGGTTTTTTTGGCCGTTTTTGACAACATTAATTTTTTCCCGTTTGCACAAACAAAGTCTGATTTGCATTAAACTTGAATCCATTGTTCAACTCCAGGGTTTAGGTCAGGTGAAAGTGAAATATTTGAAATTGGCCCATTAGCGCCCCCTAAAGACTGAGCCAAAGTTTACATCGGGAGCCAAACCAGCTCTACTTATCATATTCATTCAAATTTGACTAACAATCTTCTATGACTACGGGAACAAATCATCACACGGCGGCGCCACCTCCTTTGAGCGGTGCTGCGTGGTACGGTGTGGTGCGGCGTAGTGCGGGGCGTTGTGGAGCGGCGCGTTGCGGCTTGGTACGGGACGGCGTGGTGCGGGACGGCGTGGTGCGGGACGGCGTGGTGCGGGACGGCGTGGTGCGGGACGGCGTGGTGCAGGGCGGCGTGGTGCGGGGAGTGCGCGCGGTGCAGGGAGTCGCGCGGTGCGGCGAGGGCCGTTCGACGCCGCTTGCGGCTTTAATTTTATTTGTTCTTATAATCTTGATCTTATGTTCATGGCTGAAACATGGCTTGACCAAAATACAGAAAATGCAGTTTTAATAGAAGCATCACCACCAAATTTCAAATTTGAATCTGAAATACGGGAAAATAAAAAAAGGAGGAGGCTTAGCTGCCATTTTTAGAGACCACTTTGTCTCCCATAGAATGTCTCTTGGGAAGTTTCCGTCTTTTGAATATGTGTCTTTTAAAATACAACAAAAACAATCTCCTCCAATACTCTTCATAGTCCTATACAAGCCACCGCAGTCATGTCACAGTTTTATTGATAATTTTACTGAGTTGCTTTCAGTTGTATGCACAGATTTTGATAGTTTAGTTATTACAGGTGATTTTAATATTCATGTGGATAATGTTGATGACAGAAATGCAAAAGAGCTGAGTTCTTTACTTGATACCTTTGGTCTCACTCAGCACGTGAGTGGCCCCACCCACAGCAGAGGGCACACTCTAGACCTGTTCGTTACAAAGGGGGTGAACATTTCTAATGTAAACGTGGTCGATGTTGCTCTTTCGGATCATTTTTGTATATTTTTTGACATGTGTTTCACTAACAAACCACCAGTGGACTCTGCAACTGTTCAAAGAAGACACATAAATGAAAATACGAGTGAACTATTTATGGGAATGATAAACTTTGAAAATGCATCGTATTCTACTGTAGATGAACTGTTTAACTCTGTCACCTCTAGTGTTTTGAATGTTTTGGATACCGTTGCCCCTGTGAAGGTTAAAATAGTGAAACATAAGCAGAAGGCGCCGTGGGCTAAAGCAGACTCGGTCAGGGCACTGAAGAGAAAGTGCCGGAGGGTCGAGCGGAAGTGGCGCAAGTCCAACCTCCAGGTTGATTACAAGATATTCAAGGATAAGTTGTGCGAGTTTAACCGGGTGCTACGTAGTACGAGAGAAAGGTATTTTTCTGAAATGATTGAAGGCTGCAGTAACAATCTGCGTGTTCTGTTTTCAACAGTTAATAGATTAACAAACCCCCCTGTTCAGATGCCATTAGAGCTAACTTCCAAACGTAAATGCAATGAGTTTGCACACTTTTTCAATGACAAGGTTCAAGGCATCAAAAATGCCATTGTCTCCAATCCACAGATAACCATCCAACAGCCAGAAAGGCTCTCTGAGCTAACTTACTTTGCACCTGTAGATGATAAAAATGTCCAAGAAATAATCTCTAGTTTGAGCTCCTCCACATGCAGCCTGGATGTACTACCCACTAGATTTCTAAAGTCTGTTCTGAGCAGTCTGTTACCTTCACTCACACAGATAGTAAACATGTCCCTTCATTCTGGAATATTCCCAAAGGCCCTGAAAATGGCAGTCATCAGGCCCCTGCTAAAAAAGAGCAGCCTGGATGCTACGGTACTTAACAACTATCGTCCCATCTCAAATCTGCCATTTATGGGGAAAGTCCTTGAAAAAGTTGTCTACCTACAGCTTACTAGATTTCTTATAATCAACAACTCATTTGATATGTTTCAGTCCGGCTTTAGACCCCACCACAGCACCGAGACTGCTCTCGTCAAGGTTACAAATGATATCCGGCTGAACACTGACGCAGGCAAAGTCTCAATCTTAATCTTGTTAGATCTAAGTGCTGCCTTTGACACCGTCGACCATGAGATCCTCTTACAGAGACTAGAGGACTGGGTTGGCGTCGCTGGCACCGCCCTTAGTTGGTTTAGGTCTTACCTTGAAGACAGGAAGTACTTTGTGGAGATTGGAAACTGTGTCTCAGATCATATGGCCCTGACCTGTGGAGTACCACAGGGGTCGATCCTGGGACCTCTTCTGTTCAATCTCTACATGCTGCCGCTAGGTCAGTTAATACGCAGAAACGAAGTGTCCTATCACAACTATGCAGACGACACTCAGATCTATGTCTCACTGACTGCAGGAGAACATGGACCAGTGGACTCACTCCTTCACTGTATCCAACAGATCAGTGAGTGGATGCAAAACAACTTCCTTCAGCTAAACGCAGACAAAACTGAAATGATTGTCTTTGGTCCCCAGAAACAAAGAGAGAGCGTCATCTGTCACCTACAGTCTCTCTCCCTAAAACCTTCAAACAGGGTCAGAAATCTAGGGGTAATACTGGACTCAGACTTAAATTTTAATAGCCACATCAAATCAGTAACATCAGCAGCTTTTTACCATCTAAAAAACATTGCCAGGATCAAAAACATAGTGTCTAAAGCAGACTTGGAGATTCTTATCCATGCATTTGTCTCCAGTAGGTTAGACTACTGCAATGGCCTGCTCACAGGTCTGTCCAAACAGGCTGTAAAACAGCTGCAGTACATTCAAAATGCAGCAGCTCGAGTCCTGACTAGAACCAGGAAGTACGACCACATTAGTCCTGACTAGAGCCAGGAAGTACGACCACATTAGTCCGGTCCTCAGGTCTCTGCACTGGCTTCCTGTGGCTCAGAGAATAGACTTTAAAACAGCTCTGCTTGTGTACAAGTCTCTCCATGGCCTCGCACCAAAATATATTAGTGACATGTTAGTCCCATATGAACCAGCCCGGACTCTGAGGAGCACAGGGACTGGACTCCTGTTAGTGCCCAGAGTCAGGACTAAACATGGGGAGGCTGCTTTTCAGATTCATGCTGCTAAAATCTGGAACAGTCTTCCTGAAGTTGTGAGAAGGCCTCCTCTCTGACAATGTTTAAAACTAGGTTAAAAACGGTTCTGTTTAGCTGTGCATACAACTGAGGGATTTTATATTTTTATCTTTTTTTTAATGTACTGTGATTATTTATGATTTTAATGCTTTCTTGTTTTGTTCAGCACTTTGAATTGCCTTGTGTATGAATTGTGCTATACAAATAAACTTGCCTTGCCTTGCCTTGCCTTACAGCCTCAGCCCTGGGTCTACAGCCTCAGCCCTGGGTCTACAGCCTCAGCCCTGGGTCTACAGCAGGGGTGCTCAATACGTCGATCGCGATCTACCGGTCGATCGCAAAGGTAGTATTGGTAGATCGCATTAAATAAATACAAAATTACACATTCTAAACGAATATATACAAAAAACTCCGGGCAAAGTGGAGATTTTTGAAAACTCCGTTAATGCATTTGTGTGTAGACAGAGATAACCGGAGTTTTGCGTTCTCGCACGCCACAGTACCCCCCTAAATTCCTCTGATCACTGAAGCATGGATCATACTACCTTAAAAATTGTCCGCTGTGAGATGCTCGCAGCAGCGAACATCCTCGCTCCACATCAGAGAGCAGCAAAGTGATCGCAGGGACTCACGCTCGAAAACAACCAAACCAGGACTAAACCAGGACTAAATCAGGACTAAACCAGGGCTGAGGACGGGGTCAGTGCTTGTAAACATACGTCTTACTCTTTACTCTGAGTGTCTTCTATGACTGTAAAAGTGCCGTTACCGGCATCTGCATCAGAACTCCGCCCACTTCTGTGTTTTTCCCCAACGCAGGACAGGACGTAAGAGACGCACATGTTTGGAATGTTACGAATGTGACTGATAACGCAGATGTGTGGATGCTAATTATTTTATAAACGGAGGAGGGGAAATATTTGGATTTTAAAAAAACAGGCATGGCACATGGACATGGCACCACAGTCAAATGACATCTGTGTTTTACTCAGTAATGTTTTACTGACACTTAGTTGACTGCACATGCACAAACAACCGCGCTCAGTGCAGGAAAGCTAAACCACGACAAACTTGTCAGCGAGTTACCACCAATTTTCCGGACTATGCATCCCTGGCCGATTCAATTCAGTGCAAGTCATCAGAGTAAACTCAGGTAATGACAAAAAATGTACATAGGTAATTGTGTTGTGTTGTGCTATATTGGCTCATGCGGTTTTGCATGTACATAAACATACATTGTAGATATAAAGAATATTTTTTGAAATATATGATTTGCATTTTTGTAGTAGGTAGATCATTTTGACTTGATCCTTTTATAAGTAGCTCGCATGCTGAAAAAGTGTGAGCACCCCTGGTCTACAGCCTCAGTCCTGGGTCTACAGCCTCAGTCCTGGGTCTGTAGCCTCAGTCTTGGATCTACAGCCTCAGTCTTGGATCTACAGCCTCAGTCCTGGGTCTACAGAGTGTCCGTCCATGGGAGCAGATCAATGTGTTTCCAGAGAAAGAGACCAGAGAGAGACTGAGAAAGACCAGAGAGAGACCAGAGAGAGACTGAGGGACAATACATTCTCCAGTCTCACCTGGAGGGTTCTCTCAGTCTCAGGCAGATGTGATACTGGTGTCTTACTTGTACATCTGGTGCCGCACAAACTTGAGGTGTGGGATCTCGGCACGGTTCTCGATCAGCCGCCACACGTCCTCGCCGTACGACTCGTTGATGTAATCGTTCACGGCTTCCAGATACAGGCCGTACATCTTCAGAGCTCCCCACGCTGAAGCCCAACTTTACTAACCAGCTGAGCAGGAGGCAAAAAGTTAGTTACATTCCATACATACACCCACAACTAAAGTGGATGGGGGGGTCTATTGTTGAAATAAAAACCAGATTCTTTTTTTTTTTTCAAACTCATTTAATGGTCCATGGTTTTGGCCTTGCATACAGTAGGTGTATATCGATGGGACTTCCTAGTTACATAAAGACAAATTCATATATTAAAGCTGATTGCATGTTGTAGGGAGCTCCACCCAAGCCCCCAAGGTGTCTCCCCCTGGTCTTTCCAAGATGTCTCCCCATGGTCTCCAAGATGTCTTTCCCTGGTTTCTCCAAGATGTCTGCCCCAAGTCTCTCCAAGATGTCTGCTCCTGGTCTCTCCAAGATGTCTGCTACAGGTCTCTCCAAGATGTCTGCCTCTGGTCTCTCCAAGATGTCTGCCTCTGGTCTCTCCAAGATGTCTGCCTCTGGTCTCTCCAAGATGTCTGCCTCTGGTCTCTCCCAAGATGTCTGCCCAAAGTCTCTCCAAGATGTCTGCTACAGGTCTCTCCAAGATGCCTGCCCCAAGTCCCTCCAAGATGTCTGCTACAGGTCTCTCCAAGATGTCTGCCCCAAGTCTCTCCAAGATGTCTGCCCCAAGTATCTCTAAGATGTCTGCCCCAAGTCTCTCCAAGATGTCTTCTCCTGGTCTCTTCAAGATGTCTGTTTGGATGGATGTGTTTCTGCTGCATCTTGACACCTGTATGTCTTCTACAAGGATCAATAAAGAGCAGAAGTGTTTTGTCCAGCTCTGGTTCTCAGAGAAAGACCAGAGAGACACAATCCTGTTTTGTGAAAGCCGTGGTTCTCTGTCAGCTGAGGACGGGCCGCTTTAGTGAACACTGAGGTCTGTGTTTGGATTCAAGCTGCAGTACCGTGGGTGGCCTCTAGTCTAAGTGGAGACGGGTTAGATTGTTTTCCTGAAAATAGCTGGGAAGTTGTGCAACCGGCCCAAAATGTATCTGTGTATATATTATAATTGTTTAAGAGTTCATTTATATGTGAAACTGACTTCTTACTACTTGAAAACATTTGTATTGATAGATAACAAGAATAAGTTTAATTCAATAATGTCATGGCCGCACTAAACAACGTTAGCAAATATACATATACTTTTAAATCCATAAGTTTCTACTAAGTAAACACAATTGTGACTGTAGTAATGAGCGTGTGTGTTGTTGATTAAAGGGCAAATAACATCACAGACGCACACACACACAAACACACATATGGGGATTTGTCATTTGTCCTTCATGTGGACTTTATTTTACAATGTAGCTGGTGCATTACGCAGGTCCGCTCAATAGCACCTGTATTAGCTTACATGACTGAATAGAGCTTTTATAGCCTTTGGATTAAAATCAATGGGTGAAAACCAAAACCTTTGTGGCCGTGAATGAAACCATTTTATCACAAAGTTCTGTTCTCTGCTTTTAAATCATTAGTCCCACAGAAACGACAGAAATGACCTTCACAACCAGCACTTTATGTTATGCTAAAAGCTAAACTAAATGTCTATGGTGTGCACTTATTGCCGTAGTAGTATATACAGTATATTATTTGATACATGCCTTTGCCTTTTATTACTCTTGAGCCAAAGTCAATTCCTAGTTTAAGTTTGACTTCCTGTTACTCACAAAGGCATTAAAAAATAGTTCTGATTGTAAATAAAAAAGGTTAGACTGTTCATTTCCGTCTCACAGACAGATTTGAATGGCTGATGCTATAGAGTAAAAGGCTGATTTCAATACGCCCTAGTGGAATATATGAATAAATAATACATTAGCAGCATGATAGCACCGTACCTGTGTCGGGCCCAACCTCAAGAAACCTCAAGCCAGCTCCTCAAACACCACCACATCTACGGAACAAGCAGAACTTCTGTGACCACCCAAAACCCATTCTCCAAATCACTCAGAGTTGCACAGAAACGGCCAAAACCCAGATCTAAAAAATCGACGCCCGCACAGGTTAACTCCAAGGGTCTGAGAAAGTGTGTGTGGGTGGGCAAGAGCAGTGGCCTCACCTGCGCTCCGTGGATGTGAGGTCCAGTGGGGTCCGTCGGAGGCTGAGGTCTGCTGAGCGCTGGGAGAGCAGCAGCTGCACATGACAAGGCTGCCCCCCATGTCCCCTCGACTCTCCACCCACTCTGTCACAGCCACAGGTGACCGAGGCAGAAATAGACCCAGCGCAGCATGTTTGTGGCAGGTAACGTGGAGGGCCTGGTCTCGCATTATCAAAGCAAATGTTATCAAAGGTAGAGATGGGTTAAGAAGGCGATAAAATGGTAGTTAGGAGGTTGGTGGGACTAGGTGTTTGGTTCTATAATGGATAATACGCCCATTCTGTTCAATATTTTTGTGTTTAGCCTAAAGTAACCAAGAAAGCAACCAAATATTTACGGAATAAATCAGATATGAACTTAGTACAAGCCTGTCCGGAGTGGAGGAAGGAGACAGCTGAGGATTCTGACTGTCAGTCTCAGACCAGTTCTCCAGATGTAGAGCTCTGTCAGAGAGACTGCAAGGAGAAAACAAAAATTATGTTTGTAATGAGGTTGCACCCCCTCAGTCCTGGATCTACAGTCTCAGTCCTGGATCTACAGTCTCAGTCCTGGATCTACAGCCTCAGTCCTGGATCTACAGTCTCAGTCCTGGATCTACAGCCTCAGTCCTGGGTCTACAGCCTCAGTCCTATAGATCTACAGTCTGTGCTCACTTTATCCCTCTGGGTTTGTTCTGGTTCCTCTCTGGACAGTCTCAGGGCAGTGGTGATGGGGGATACAGTCTTTAATAACATGGACCATCCTGCTCAACATCCCGGGATCCCACGTCACATCTAGATATGTTTGTTATTGCTTGAGTTCCAACTGCTCTCTGATCTGACCCAGGACTAAGGCTGTAGATCCAGGACTGAGGCTGTAGATCCAAGACTGAGGCTGTAGACCCAGGACTGAGGCTGTAGACCCAGGACGGATTCTCTTCATTTAAAGTCACACGGTGGAGATTTATTGATGATTGAAACACCAAACACATGTAGTGAGAACATATTAAATTGTTATTAACCCTGAGCTTCAATTGTGGACTCTGAATTTGCATGTTCTTCTCTCCCACCGACAGGAAACACAGTGTATTTTTAGAGCCGCAGCTTTTGTGACGAGGACAATCCACGGGTCCAGAGCGAGTCCTCCACACGAGTGTTTTTCCTTCGACTCGAGGAGGTTTGAAAAAGCACTAAAGAGCGAGGAAGACGTCAGACAGAAGCAATCCAAAGTGGTTCTCCTTTAATAACAGCAGGAATATACCAAACCTGCAGCGTCAGAAATGCTCAGGGCCAAGAAGAGTTTATTTGTACGGCACACTTTATTCTTGGGTTTCATTAAACTGGCCAGTAGGGGGCGCATGAGCAGAGGTGGGTCAGTTTTGCTCCCATTGAAAACCATGTAAAGTCTGTTTTAGAGTCAAAGGCTCTCCTCCTGTGCGGTGTACGGTTGTTGGAACAGTCTTAATCGGGGACACTCAACTCTAAGGGAGTACTAACAAATATTTCTCAAAAGAGTCTTGATTTCGGGCATTTTTGGAGAAAAAAAAACAGAAGAAATTGCTGCGTTTCATTGGGGTGGCCTGCAGGGGGCGCTGATCTGGGAAAGCTTTGATCCACCTCGCCCGCCTCATTACGTATAAACCCGGCAGACTGCACCCCCAGGATACGTCACGTCCTGTCCTACGTTTGTTATTTGCACCACTGCCCTGACGTCATATGAAACCCAAGAATACAGTCTGTGTTAGCTAGATCCAGGACTGAGGCTGTAGATCCAGGACTGAGGCTGTAGATCTAGGACTGAGGCTGTAGACCCAGGTCTGAGGCTGTAGATCCAGGACTGAGGCTGTAGATCTAGGACTGAGGCTGTAGATCTAGGACTGAGGCTGTAGATCCAGGTCTGAGGCTGTAGATCCAGGACTGAGGCTGTAGATCCAGGACTGAGGCTGTAGATCCAGGACTGAGGCTGTAGAGACACATAAGGCCGTTGGTCCAGAGGCAGCGGGTCCAGAAACTAAAAGATGATTTATGGGTCCCACAGCGGGGAAATGTCAGTGTTGCATTACCAGGTACAGAGCAGTAGGAATGAGCAGATCACAGATGGATACATGAACCTCTATCTACACTCTCTACTAAATGAAAAACATAAAATAAAACCTAGCTTTAGCATAACGAAGAAGCAATCTATAATCTCCAGCTTTAGCAGAATGAAGAAGCAAGAATGAAGAACACATTCTCTGACTTTAGTGTAATTAAGAAGTTTAAACATCTCTAGCTTTAGCATAGGACAGATGCAATGGCGCTCTAGTGTGTTCCGTGGTGCACACTGGGGAGGTCTTGCACAGTTTTTCCAATGGGGTTTTACTGCAAACGGCAAATCAATTCTTGAAAAAAATTCTTGAAGTATAGATTGAAGCAACCTGCAGCCGGCTCCTTTCTGAGCATGTGTAGAAATGTTAATAAATGTTCTTTCATTTCAGATTTATCCAGCGAAAAAAGTCTTCTCGAAAATGTGAGACAGGCTTCTTCTCTGACAATCTTCAAATCCAGGTTAAAGACAGTTCTGTTTTTGCGTCAACTGAAGGATTTGATCTTGGAGTGAGATTATTCATGATTTTAAAACCTTGTGTCTGTCTGGTTTTCTCACACACTTTGAGTTCCCTTTGTGTATGAACCGTGCTATACATATAAACTTGCCTTGCTCTCATGTATATTTAAATAAATTCACGGCACACGGACAAGAAATACAGACTATAACTATTGAAATTAGGGAAAGTCACGTTAACGAGTCTAGATTTTGACTTGAGAATGATTTTAGCAGATCTCCCATTCAGTGTATTCTAGTATCGACCAAAGTCACAACATCCGCCGTCTGTGAGGACTTTACAAAGTTATCGATTCTCCA